TCTCTGTACGTTCAGTAGAACTGTCTTGACATTCTCATTGAAGATTCTCACTTTGATGTTGGTTGACGGTAATTTTAAATTTCATATGTTTTTCAACTGTAGGAGTGCTATCCTTACCTTGCCAATCCTCACCTTCACGTCTGCGTTGGATCCTCCTTGTTCATGGATGATGTTGTCGAGGTACGTGAGAGATTGCACATCTTGCAGAGCTTTTCCATCGAATGTGGATGAGTTGGTGTTTTCTGTGTTGTATTTTAGGATGTTGCTTTTTCCTTTGTGTATGTTGAGGTCTACCGATGCAGAGGCTTCTGCTACACTGACTATCTTCGGTGATATTTGTTGGTGTGTATGGGATGGAGGAGCTAGGTTATCTTCCAAGTCCAAATCATCTAGCTGTATCCAACGTGTTCATAATGTTTCGTACTTTTCCTGAGATGTGTATGTCATCATAATTCAGTCAACCACCAGGGGGAAAAGAAAGGAGCTGAGTAAGCAACATTGTTTGAATCTGGTCCTCATTTCGAAAGCGTATGTTATCTGTCCTTCATGCCCGACTTTACAGAGTAGCCATCGTACGTATTCCATATGATTTTGACGATCTTCTCAGGTGCTCCATAGAGTCGAAGAAGTTTCCATGATGTTCACCTATCTACACTGTCAGATGCTTTCTCGTAGTCACGGAAATTAATGTATAGTGACGGGTTCCATTCAAATGACTGCTCGAAATTGATCCATGGTCTCACGATTCGATCCGTGAACGACTGATCCTTACGGAATCCAGCTTGTTGATATCGAAGTTAGGCGTCTACTGAATCTTTCATCCTGTTCAGCAACACTCTGTTGGAATCCTTTCCTGGTTTTGATAGTAGTATAATGCCTCTTTATTTCTCACGTTTGCTCATATCTCCTTTCCTTGGTATCTTGATGGAGTATCCTTCTTTCCACTCTGATGGAACATGTTCTTCCTCCTAAATCTTCCTTAATAGAACGTAGAGCATGTTTGCAGTTACTTTTAGATCTGACTTCAGTGCCTTAGCTAGTATCTTGTCGCGTCTTGCTGCTTTCTCATTTGTGATTTGTCTGATGGCCATCCTGATTTCTTCGATCGTTGATGGGTGATAGCTGCCGGAAGGTCTTAATGTGCTGCTTCGATATCCGGTGGCTTCAGTTGTGCTGGTCTATTCAAGAGTTCTTCATAGTGCTCTACCCACCTGTTCCGCTGTTCTTGAATAGCAGTGCCTGGCCTGCCTATTTTTTTCTTGACAGGTCACTCTAGTTCACCATATTTCTTTGCCAGCTTCTTCGTTATATCATATAGTTATAAGTAAATTCACTGGGAAATCATTATTGGCATATATTATGTGTTTACCATATACAACACCGTGATTCAGTGTGATTTTTGATTATATTTGTAATAACAAGCAATTGATTTGAAAGGAACTAATTCTTGGCAAGCTGCTTGTGATTTGATTTACTATTCAATAACCGATTCATAATTACGACGAAATGATTATGAAGATTGTTCATTTTGTAGCATATACTGATGTTAGTTAAATAACTGTCATCAAATTGAACAATTATGAAAGACCTCTCGTCCTGATAATGAATGTTATGCTTACTAGTAATTAACATTGAGTAGAATCCTCAAATTTCAAGTAAGACGTGATTGGTGGAATTTCAGATTGTCCATAGTATGACACAGACCACCAAGGTTAATAAATGTTGATGATCACGAATAAATTTACCATTCTTGATACTGACATTAAGTCTGAAGTTTTGTAGATTACAATATTTATCAGTTGGATAGAGAGATTAGTTCCCCCACAGATTGATATCAGTTGGATAACACATGACAGTAAAGCTAACACTGAACAGTTATTTCGACCTAGTATAGAAATATGGTAATGATCTTGCGATTGGATTGTAAACGAATTCTAAACACATCTTTAGAACACAAAAGTTATTGACAGTTTTAAGACCTATGTTTTATCTTACTTGAGACTCCTCAGTTGAATTTATCCGTATACCAGTTATAATATTTACTCTAAAATTAAAACCTAACGCTTTAAACATCAGAGTAATATCTACTTAGCTATCCAGTTTTGGTAGTCCATGAATTTCTATAAAAGTATGATATTTATCACTATTATTTGTAAGAGTTTACATTTGCCTAGTGTTGATTCCCGTGAATTATTATGAACAATATTTGTTGGTGTATAAACTCTTGTGGACTGAAACACTCAATATTATCCGTAATTACAAGTTGATTTGGCTGGTAATAGTAGGATTAAGAATAAGTCCCTAAATTTGACTAAATACACACCGTAAAAGATTCTTCCCCAATTAATAACCATAGAAATTAAAATTACCATGTAATTCATAAGACACATAGTGAGTTATCCATTAAAATAGTTCGTATTACCAAAAAATTAACCGGCCCAATTGAGCCATGAATACTAACAAAAAATAAAAACTATTCACACTAATAATCATGTATTTATTATCACTTAGACCAGATTAAAGCTTTAAGGATTATTTCAGACATACACAATTCGATAACAATGACGTAGAGTAATAACAATAAACACATGACTAACATTATTGAAAATTTGAGGGGCGAGGAATTTGGAAATGGTTACCAAGCCAAATTCACTTTATCAATAATAACATGTAAACAATGAGAATTGAATTAGTAAGAATAAATAAGTAGAACACCAATTATGGCATTATCGTATTTAATGAAGTTCGCACAATTTTCTTATGGGAATAAAGAATGACAAGTGAAACTTAAATAATTATTAATACAATTATGTAGTTCGTAATTTTTTATACCCAGAGTAGTTAATAAATGATCTATATTAAAGTGTAACTGATGTAATAACTTCGTAGTGTGATTTATTGTACATTGATCCATTGAGTGCGTTGGTAAAAAATTCCTAACTTTGGTAACTTAAAAATAAATGAAATTTAATAGTGTATAAAAAAGCTAATTTAAAAGATAACGAAAAATTGCGTGAATATTCACCACACTCATGGTGCAACAAACCGATATCTGAGTCAAACATATGCAGTCATAAAATGAGAATAAAAGGAAAACAATTACAAGGAGTTTGGCTGATAACAAACATTATTATTTATTTGAACAAGTAAATATTGGTACAAAAGGCACCGAAAACATATGCGCCACACAAGTCTCTTGTGCGTGGGCTGTGATACTGTCCAGGTGCCCAAATCAAAGCAGGTAGTTTTCTTAGGGGGTCACATCCTAAGCCTTTGACCTGAAGGTCTAATCCACAAGGCAGTGCAACAACTTTAGGAGACTCAGGCCCATGGTATCCGGTGACCAAGAATAGGTTTATACGTCATTTGTTTCCTTAGGATCATGAAAGTCATTGGGACTATTGGTTTTGAATCAGGGTTCCCCAATTCCCCTAGGTTTATCCTCTGTATCTACCAACCCGATTAAGGTGCTGCACATTCGCTTTTCATTCTATCAATTTCGTAAGCAGTAATGCCGCGAGAAGGCAGTGAGTAGGACTTACCTGATAGTGCCTATATACGCGTGGTCATGTGAGAGCATTTCGAGAGGGAGAGTTAACTCTCCCTATTCTCGGCCGTACCAGGGCATTTGGGGGCAAGAAAAAAGCCAACTAGATTGGATGATCATAATGTGCTAGTTGACTCCAGTTTTTAGAGATGATGATCCAATTAAGCTAGTGGGAATGACTGAGCAATTATTTGGACAACAGTAACCATAGGCCTAGCGATCTCGATTGCTTACTACTATCTAAATAAGAGACTAATATTTTAGCCTGTCAGACGTAGAGACAAGTTGATGAATACTGTCTTCAAACCCTTACGTTTCTCATGAATACGACGTTAAACTGAGGTCCAACAATACCGGACCTCGAGAGATCAGTCAGACTTCAGGTTATGTAGATAATTGCATCAACATGATCTATGACAAATACTGACACGAATGCACGTCAAACGGCTTTTATTCTCTTTTCCCTGAATAACGATCTTAAATGAGGACTAATAGCAATTCCCTCCATGTCGGATTATCCTGTTCTAGTGCACTTCGTTTGAAAGTTTTTTTGCTAACTTTTCCTTTATCCCTAATTTCCCTCTTCCATATAAATCTGGTTTTTTAAATCCTTATCTATTTGATTTTATACAACCGTATACTTTCTAATTACTTGTTTAGATTAACTGGTAATTCCTCGGACAGACTACGTAATATAAGATATAGGGACAAAATAGTTTACAGAATATTTATTATTATATGGTTTTGAATCTAATAGTCTCAAGTTATAATTATTTTAACAATAGTAACTGGTTAGATAATGATCTCTCTACGGTGTGCAGTAATGTGATACTCAGTAAGAGTAATAACAAAGACGGTCTTGGTGCATAATGCACATTATATATATATCATTTCATGAAATTGATATGTGATATTCAAAGCAGTATATAATTGGTCGTTGAGTGTGGACAAACAGACAGCTTACTAACCATTAAATATGTGGTGTCCTTTCCTGTTATTGATTTTCACTTTGGACTCACTGAATGTGACTGCTTGTAATTGTATTGAATGAAGTATTATGTAGTGTTAATCTGGTTCTCTATTCTAGGTTGTGAATCCTGGTTCTGATACAACGTGACTAGTCTTATTATCGTATTATATATCAGTGTGATGAAAATATTTCAAACCATTCGTCATATCAAAAACATCGAGTTAACACAGTGGATAAATGAGTATGCTACTTAATATTTATCAAGTAATCTTGAATGATTTTACGTTAAAATTCTGTGGTGTATTAGTAACAATCAGAACAAATCAAACGACAACAACCTATTTTGACTTATCTATTATTAGATACAAGAAAAATGTAAAACATCTTTAGTCTGATTATATTGCAATAATATAACTAAGACAAGTGACAAATTAGTGATAAAAATCTTCAATAGGATTTCAAAAGCAAAAAGAAAAACTAATTAAAAGACGATTGCAATTATTTTCCTGTTTTATATTTACATAAATTTCAATCTGGGAAATATTTTGTACACACACATACATACATGAAATCATTGAAGGTATGACTGTACACATAAAATTCTATTGAATTCTTATTGATAAAATGTGTATTTTATTTAACAAGCCAACTTTTGAAGTAGTTCAAAACAATTTGTTCCGGCATAATGAACTATTCGACCAGTAACTAAACTTGCAGAAGGAGAAATTAAATTGTCCATAGAATCTACACAATAGTAAAAAGTAAAATAATAAAATGGAATAAATTATAAATTCAAACAGATTTAGAATGATAGTTTTTTGTAGGATACACTTAATTTACTGTAATTTCCGACTTTGTTTTTTCGTAAAAAACAAACTATAAACAAATCATTATGTAAATAAACTACAAAAGAGAAATAAAAGTTTGATATCATGAAAATTAGTTGAGAATGCTCAGGTGCCAAACTGTGAGAGAGAATGATGCATATTTAAAACCTACGTTCAGAGTCGATTCGCTTAAGACAGCAGTTTTAGCTTGTTGACGATTGCCTACTAAAATGGAACCTAGATCCAGCGTTTTTTTGTAGATTACTTTTAACAACCTAACAAAAATGCTGGTTTTCATCAACAACAAGAATTAATTCATGGGCTATCGTTGAAAATTGTCTTAAATGACACTATTATATATGTAAGATTTCAACTGGAATTGTGATGCGACAAAGTAATAAAAAAAGAGATACTATTAGTTTTCTTAAGAGTACTTAAATACTATATTTGTGAGTCAATATATGCCAACTGACAATTGGCATTTTGAATCAGTGGAACGAATCAGAGAAATTGTATCATACATGCTGTAGATAATGTTGTCTAGGAATAAATAAAATTCTGTGTTTACTCACTGATGAGTCTAGAAAATTTAGTTTCTTTTTAAAAAAAATCATCACTCTGTATAACGTAAAATACGGTTTGGCAAAATCTTTAATGATACGAAACTGTGGTAACTCATTTCATATACGTTATAGAAAATATTTCATTTATATGACATTAAAAACGCGTATAGAAATAATGATTAGAGTTTTGATGGAAAACACAGATGATACGTAGTTACGTTTCCAGCAATGTTTTTCCAACTCCAACATAGTGACTAACTATAGTAGGAGGTGATATCTTCAGAAATTCCTGTGAAAACTGTTTTTTTATAACATGCCTTTAAAATTGAGATCACTTAATCAGTTATAAACAACACAGAACCTGATACATATACATCGGTTCAAATGGCCAAACCATATCAGGAAAAACATGCATTTCACTCTTTCAATTCACTTGAATTAAGACATTTTTGCACAGAAAATTGTTAAACAAGATGGTTCTTGCTTTAATCAGTTACTATTTCGAAATACGGAAATATAATCAACGCACTATTTCAATTAGATTGCGAGCATAATGAATTCAAAATCGAAATTCTGTAAAATTATGACCAACATTGGTAAGAAAAACTACTATGACAGTTACACACACATAAATACATACAAATAAAATAGTATAGAACTACCATTTTGTAATGAATTTTTTAAAACATTTGCAACAGTCTCGAAGGTCATTTGCTGAAGCAGTGATGGATGTGAACTCATTGAACGTCTATTAAAAGCCTGATAAACGCCAAATTTTGTAAGATAATCACTAATTAGTGATAAATGCCGTGAATTCACATGAATCCCATAATGACCAAAGACCCCAGATACTTCCTAAGAGTAAAATAGTAACAATAACATAGTTATGAGTCTTCACTAGTGTTTAAATTTTTAATTACATGAAACAATTAAATTTGTGCATGTGCTAAAGCTCAATACTTAATCTGTTCGCCGAGTACTATCTGTTTTATTCGGCTTTAAACCATACACATGTTAATTGTATGGTAGTTAATAATATCATCTGGTTATTTAAATAGAAGTAGGTAGAAAGACGGATTCGAACCTGAGGTTTAGTAATTGAAAGACAAATGGTTTGAGATGTATGGGCGAGTGATAATGATTGGTTATCTGCTTAGTCAGACATTTAGATAGTCTTACAGGTGTCAGATGAATTGTATATTCCCTTATCCTTATTATTATTACTCACTTATTGTTCCGATAATGCAATGAGGAGACGAAGTTCATCAGTTTACATAATTCTGATAAACTTCGTCTTCTCACTGCGTTATCGAGACTTATCAAAGGGACTAATTGTTTTAAATCAGTTATTATTGATTGTTCATTGTTGTTGGGTTGTGTAGGTTTTTGGTGTGGATACATATTTACGTTGTGGTCAGGATAATCACGTGTTCTAGATCTGAGTTGTGTTGAAGTCCTGTAGAATCGACACTGAGAGTGAATCTAGTGTAGATATTCGTCTAAGGCAAATTAACGTCCCATACATGTAAACATGGAAACCCAATTGTTATAACATTAGACGAAGTAAAACCGAGCGTTATAACAGTTTGGTTTAACAACCAAAAACCATTACTTCAACATTTGAAAAAAGAACACTAGCTGATCTTAAAAAGTGGCCGGGTAACATATCATAAAAAAGATTTCATAACAGATATATAAAAAGTGCACAAATATTTACAATCAGATAAATTAGAACATTACACATTGTTTTTCTTATTGGGAAAAGTTAATAAAAATAAAATAATAACAATAGTAATAGTAATGATAATACAACACGTACTCTTTGAAGTGCTGCCCGAGCAGCTTCAATACCGTATGTTTCATTCATTACAGTGATGTTGTTAGTATAGAGTCGACTCAAATCAAACACTTGTGGATAACGCATCATCTCCTGCATATACAATTTGAGAGAGAAAGGTGGAATATGGATAAAAACACGTAACAATTCATTAAGTTATTGATCATATCTTATGTGTGATCACAAAGCCAATTTAATGGAACTTTCCTACATTCTGAAAAGGATTGAATGATATACAATTTTCAAGCACATTTCATAGTTGAATAGCCTTTTGTAATTTTTTTGGCAGAAAGATGTTGCTATGATGACAATGTGTGAGACTTGAGCAGAAAACATCAGATACGTGTTTCAACATAAAATCAACCAACTTACAGTTCGAAAGATTTGTAGATCCTCTTTAGTATATTCACTGAATATAGCAAGTTTCCTGACAATAATCAACTGATTATTACTGATTTTCAAGAGCACGGTTAAATTAATAACTGAATGGATTCTTTTTTTAAGATCAGCAGTGAAAATGGCTTATTTCCGTGAAGAAATTTCACACACGAAGAAGAAAGAACGCCAATCATAATCATTACTGATGTCAGTTTAAAAAGCAAAGCTGCTTAGTTTAAGAAACTAGCTGTAAGAAAGATAGCAGTAACCGGTATAACAGAGCAGAGTAATATTCAGATATTTTCCCAGTTATCATTTTTAGTGTATTTGTTGTTCCAAACTACTTGTAAGCAGTATATGAAGAAGTATTAAAGTGACAGCGTACTGTAAAACAAATTGATATTAATTTACATGATGTTTCAAAGTGTATAAGAACGGTTCACTAGCCTAACCGGTAACCATAAATGTTTACAAATCTAATAAGAATTTTATGGAACTTACAATCATGTTTATACCTTCAACTCGGAACATCCATTGATTTGGTTTTGAACGATCAATAATGGTCTTTTCGATACCGGATACCGAGGATACAACGCTTCGATTAATAAGGCGCATAATTAAAGTTTCTAGGTCAATAGATATACGTCCTTCGTTTGGATCGAACATCTGGTGATAAATGATAACATTATATATGCATAAGGATGAGTAAAACACAATCGCAAAAAAAAACAATATTCTTTTCCAAATATCAGTTTATGTTTATTTTAAAAATCAACAATGGGCTATATAAGTGACCGATCTAGATTAAGATATGAGAAATAAAGAAAACCACAGGTTTGCATACAGTGTGCTAAAAGTTCTCTTGGTTACTAATGGTAGTAATAATCAATATTATTATCTCTTGTATTTTCTCTCTATTCGAACAAGAACAATGACTATTGAGTGTATTATGGTATCTCTCTGTTCAAGTATGACAGTAATAAAAATTTGTCAAATGTCATGTATAATCCTTCATTTACAAAATTTACTGATTTCTCGTAAGTTTTCTCACTATTATGAAACAACAACACCGAAAGCCACGTTAAATTTACTTTCAATAAATAACTGCCAAAAACATTTGCTGATTATAAGTAGCAGATAGATCACTGAAAACATCTAGTGAATTTCACGTATACGGTATATTTTAGTGAATCATAATTGAACTAGTAATAATTGTTTAACAATGTTTTTATGTATCTGGATTGTTTGAAGTTCATTGTCATTGAGAATGAGTGAAAGCTTAATAGAGAAGACCAGGTTTAATTATTGTATAATCACATAAAGAATGGTGTGTGAGGGTTGTGAATGTTAACGATCAACTTGTCAATAATGAAAATGAACTAATTGGGTGATACTGCAGGTTTGTCGAAAATTTTCAATTTCCAAGTTAAATCATGGATTGAGTATAGTTGGGCAATCATTGAAAACACAATTATATGAACGAAGAATATTCTTTTCTATAAGTTCTTATCAGGTTCTAAAATTATAAATCCATAAAATTGGCCATATTTAAGGCAGAGTGCATCATTTAAAATTGTAATATGTGAATCAACAATTGTTGTTTGTCATGTAAAATCAAATTTTCGCACTACTGTGGAGTTCAATAGTAAAACGAAACAGCTTCTCAATGCTTTATGGTTTGAAATATTTATCTAACTGTTATCTGTGATGTAAACTATACGTTGAGTAGTCTTTAACATCATATAAGGATAACATGAGTTAACAGTTATACTTTAGAACAAGTGAAAGACTATTGTATTACAGTGATCTGAGCATTTTCCCCACTTACGCAGTAAGCATATTAATTTAAGGAAGGAAGAAAAACTATAAGCGATCAGGAAAAATAAATTGTAGATCAAGAGCCTAATGATAGACTAAGAAGAACTTGAACATATAAATAAATGTTGAAAAATAGATATCTTAAACTGTAGGCTTTTGCATAAAACAGAGCAAGACATTATTGTAATAAACAGTACATAAAAAGCTCTTCCATTTAGAAAGAGAAAAAAATGACAAACATATAATTCAATTTTCAAGCAGTAGATAACTTTTTTCAGTGGAAATTCATGAAGACTAAATACGACTGACAACATAAAATGGAAGCGACAATGAAGACGAAAAGTACAACAAAAACAACAGTAACTTACACAAATTGTAAGACGTGCCCATTTTGGCGATGAATTTTTTCTGTCGAAATCGTAACCACTGAAACGAGCATGCAGGCTGGTAACAAACTGATGATATGAACAGGAGGAAGTAGAAACAACGAGAAAAATATGGTTGTGTAAAATATTAAGAAATTATTAGGATTATTTATTTTAAGATAAAATCATATAAGCTAGTAACAACACAAACACACAAGTTTCTCAAAATAATACCAGTAAGACAGTGCGAAATTGCTGGGATGGAAGACCAAACAATTTAGCTATACAAATATATAAACATAATAAGTAAAAAGTAGAAATTGATAACGTGATGACAGGTGTACTAGTTGTGATAAGAATAATAAAGGATTGAATTAATGTTTCATAATAAGAGGGTAAATCAATGACTTGGAAAATATAGACATTCATAAAAAATTGTAGGATTATGTAATAAGAAGTGTTCGAATAATGGGACAATGAAGTGTATGTATTTGATAAAGAAAAAAAAAGGTGTGAGTGAAGAAAGGGTATGGATAATACTAATAAATAAAATCTTCTACTTATTATGTTTATTTATGTGATCTATCGTACTGTTATCACTGACTCATCAACTGCCTTGATTTATTTAATAATTTCTTATATGCATATAAATATTACTGTATATTAGAGTAAAGCCTTATGAGGATCTAATCGAAAACAATATTGTTCGCTTATATTTGTTATTCTAATTCACAATATGGGCATTTTTAAAATAAAATAAATAAACGACAACAACTTCTTTATATATAAAACCACATGCGAAGTAATTCAAAAATCGATAGACAGAAAATGGATAATGATAGACATGATTCACATGAGGAAATCTTAGGAATCTCTACTGTATATATATATATATATATATATATATATATATATATATGTATTCGTTTTTATAATATCACGGTTCTGCTTGAAAATATTTGGTAATATAGATTGTAGTAATTTTGATAAATAGATTCACCAGTTGATGTAAGCTAGATTACCATTGAAAGCCTGGAAGCACTGGACAGTTTTCAATGGTGGTCTAACATGCACAAACCACCATACTGATAATAATCATGTGTTCACTAGTCACTAGCTTCAAAATATGCTTCCCAGAGTTCTAGTTAAAATCCATAACCAGTGGAGTCCGATCCGTCTTGGGTGGAGACAGTTATCCACTTCGGACAAAAAATGAAGGGTTGCGCAAGACAATGGGGCGATCGAAATTAAACACTGTTAGATGCTCGTTCAGTGGTCTAGGGGCTCGGCGTTTGCGTGCGAGACAGAAGGCCCCGGGATCGAGTCCCGCGTGAGGGATTGTGGATGCGCACTACTGAGGAGTCTCGTACTGGGACGAAACGGCAGTTCAGTACTTCCAGGTTTTCAATGATGTTTTAGCCTAGATTGACACATGAATTAAACTATTAAAATTACTACAATGTCCACAAATCCCTATTCTGATAATATAAATTGTAACTCATTGCCGAAGTACAGATACAACTGCTCAGCTTTGAACCACACTTTACAAGTGAAGACCAATATTACTATCCGGATGGCCAAAGCCGAAATAGGTGAAGCGAGAATCGAATCTATGACCTAGCGCTTGAAAGATAAGCGCCTTCACCATTAGATCACTGATAAACTGAAGTAACTGATATACATGTTCATCAGTGAGTAGTAGGGACAATAGGTTGGTTAGTAGTAGTGAATATATACCCAGTAAGTCTGATATACAACAAAGTGATGGCTGGATTTTGAAAAAATAATGCATGGAATTGTACTTCATATTAGCAAGCGTGGAAGTATAAGTAATGTTATCAAGAAGCATGACCCCATGGAAATCATTTACCTCAGCAAATGGCATTCTTCGAATAATCAACAGTAAGTTCTGATACCTGAATATATTACACTATATTCAATTACCTAACCCTGCCTGGAGCTCCTCCGGTGTTACTGTCGATCCTAAACCTTTATGTATTTAGGGCGGCACCATCGATAAACATGATTGATGTGATGTTGATATTAGGGCAAGAGGCGGTAAAGTAACGGTAATATCCCTGTAATCGAATACCTGGAACTTAAAAGGACTGTCGTCCAACACCAAAATCAGGACCTTCAACACAAATTTTACAGGTTCTGTTTTATGGAACTAAAACTTAGAAAGCTACCAGAACTATCATCATAAGAAAGTATAGGTATTTATAAATAGCTGTTTACATAAGATACTCTAGAGTTATTGGTCAGGGACCATCAACAGTAGATGAGAGCAAACAAGCTCCCATCAGAGAAGAAAATTAGAAAAAGGTGTTGGGTGTGAATAGGTCTCATTTTACGGAAATAATCGAACTGAATCACAAAGCAAGCCTTATCTTGGAATTCCGAAGATCAGACGAAAAAAACAGGCCAAAAACACATGGTACATGGACTTGGAGGCAAGCATATAAAAACGAATAGCACTTGACAAGAGCTAGAAAGAACCCAGGGCAAAGCTACGTGGAGATACCTGGTTATTGACCTAGGGGTCCGAGAGGGATAGGTGGCTTAATTTACGTTAGAAACATTCAGATAATTGGATGAAACTGTAACGCCTAATTTGTTCCTAACTATATTGCAGTGTAAGCAACTTCCAAATAGATTGGTATCAAAAAAGCTATCAACTAAGCTAACAAAAATCGTAGATGAGACATAATTAACTACGTTCGCAACATTATGCACTGATCTTAATGAATTTTAATATATTCACTTGAACATAAACGAACAAATAGTGACTGTTTTAACTATTTTTTAAAAGAACAACTTTTAAAAGTCAGTTAGTATTAAAATGACTATTCTGAACCCTACGTATAGCGGAAAATTTAGTGTTTGATAGGAAGAATTGAATGGTGCATCGAAAGTGAGAATTCATTTGAAAGAATGCAACGTGTTGATGTGTTATTAAGAGCAAATTAAAACCTGGATTGTGAGGTAAACAAATAGTTACGATTCACAACCTCGTACAATCCTGGAACAAGTGACAAAGTAGGAAATAAACAAGACAAAAGAGATCATAAAACAGTCAGTTGAAATAAAATAACTGTAAAAATGTAAAACTATCCAAATAGTTATAAAATACATTTTAAGTAGGAGAACATATCTCTAGAAAGTAGTGACCAATAATAGTTTGTAAATTATTGTAACTTATAATATCAGTGTACTAGTATTGATACAAATACTAATAAAAATTAATTACCGTTATCCGTTTGCGAGCTTCATCATGACTTATAGCATTCTCTTGTTCTATATTTCGTTCCATATTTTCTTGGATTAATTCCCGTTCATCATCTACATCTGACTGATTTAATTCAGGATCACCAGTCCATTGGATAAATTCATCAGAATTTGTACCTTTTGAAGTAGTTGTTTTATGTTCAGATCTTGAAGGATTGCCAAGAAGCATTTTTAATTTACTTGATGGAGATAATTCATTCCAAGGCCATTTACCATTATCGTCTTGTTGTTCATCGTCACCGTCATCTTTCTCACGATCTTGTCCAATTTCATGTAGTTCGGCTGCTTCAGCATCATATTCATCGTCTAAGTCTAAATCGACCAATTCATCCAGATCAGATCCATTTTTACGACGATTATTATCACCACCAGTAATATCTTCCTCTTCGGCATTTGCTTCGAGACGCCGGCGTCTGATAGCCTGGAAATATAGAGATCAAAAATCATATCTTAAAAATAGACTTTTATTTCGAGGTAAGAGACCGAGATGGAGGGAGAGACAATAACTATTACAGTTGATGACAAATTGATTCATGATTATTTTTAGAAATTTGAAAATGTTGACGGTCATGAGTATCTGCTAAGCCGTTACAACAATTTCTATTATTCACTACTGTATTGAGCAAAAAATAAAAGTATCGAAGAAGTCTCATTTATGAGTACGAGGTTAGATAAGGGTAATAATTTGAATTCAGTTAACTCACTAGCCAGGTACAGATCCGAGTAAATGGCTTCAAGTGTAGGATAGTGAAAATACCCAGTTGTTTAAACCGAGGTTAGGTGGAGCGGGAATCAAACCTAAGATCCAATGGCTAAAGTCTGAACGCCTTAGCTACTGAGACACCACTGCACTAGGGGTAACATTAGGATTTGAAAATCTAATTCAATAGTATCAAGTGGAGCAATAGAGATTAATATGTCAGTGCCTATAAATAAGACACCACATACTGTGTGATGTTATAACAACTACTACTCAGTCATTTAAGAGATATAATTCATTAGGAAAGTATTTTAAAGCAACCACTGGCTAACCGTAAATTTTTAAATAACTTACCTAAAAATATGGTAAATAAGCCACAAAATATATGAGAATATAAGTAGACTTTTCAATTAGTAGTAAAATTTTGATTTAGGTTATTTCAGAATGAATAGAAAACAAAAAACCCCACTTTTTATTGAACCATATTTCCCAATAGTAACTTCAATTACTATCGTTTGTTTGTATAACTAAATATGAACTGGTTTTTTAAGGAAAACTCAGCACTTGACTGTTGATATAATTTTAAAGAAAAACTTTTTTTTCTGAAAAACCATGGTTTATACACAAAAACGATTTGGAGAATGTTTTATTTGACTTTTGAAATATGCTGGCAGTGTAACATAAAGCTATTTATAATGTAAAACACATTTAACTGCGACTCAAACAAATAATACGAAGTGGTGAAGAGTTTCTAGGATAATTGAAAAGGAGGTGGAAGATTGTTGGATATGAACATAAAAGGGTAATTGGATAGGTATAGAGGTCGGGTTTGACAACGAATTAAATAAACATTATATTCAAATGTCAATGGCAAAAATTCTTACTAGTAGTTCATTTAATGTATTATTTTAGTATAAAGTGATCAAATCATAGGCGACGTAAAATTCGGCACACTTGTGCATCGGTTTAATTTTTCACACCAAATAACCACGATCAGATGAAATTGTTAAGACAAATGACAAAGAAATAAGAGTAGTAACAATATCAGTAGAGTAGATTACACACAGACAGTATAATTAGATAAGGATGAATGGATTCCCATATGAAAAGAGTAAAGTTGTTAAGAAGTTTCAAAGTATTTCTCAAAAAAGGGCATAGAAAACGGTTGTATACACTACGAAATCAGCGTTGAATAGAAGCTTTTCAGAAACATATAGAAAGTGAAGTCACGTGCAGCATCTCTGATTGGATATTAACCAAAACTACTAGTATATTTAGTACGATTCCAGAAAATCCCGGAAAAATCATGGGCGTATGTAACTAAAAATAACCATGAAGAAAAACGTTTATTTCGTATTTCAAGCTTTTGCTCTTGTGTTGCCATTTAGATTAAACCCAGGGGTTATCAGACACGGTTAAGAAGCTAGATTGTGAGTTCACTTAGCATACTTATCAAAGATAATTTTAAAAAAACAAGATGCAAGGGAGGACAAAGAGTGTATGTATCTATGGTACTCCAATTGATTCAGAGCTATGTCAATCAACGTATCCAGCATTTGGATACGATAATCCTACAGAATCATGATCTAAGATTACTTTCACCAACAAGTTGTTCATTTTACAGTTTACTATTCATCTCTTTCACTTAATGTCGGTTATTCATATTTATAAATTTCGTTTTCTTTATTATTTATACACGAACACACTTTCCACAGGATTTAAGCATAAGTTATGATGGAACAGTGAGAGATTCAGGATCTAATATAACACTTCCGTCCTCTGACTTTTCAGGGGTTGATCTTCTACCAGGAGATTCACTTGTTTACTTAGAATGTGGAGATGATATAGTTGTGTTTGAAGTTATTTATTTATTTAAACACATAAAAATTTGGTACAACGGGGCACCAAATACAAATGAGTCACGCAAATCAATATATTTTTATGAGGGCTGGGTTACTGTCCAGGTGCCCAAATCAAAGCAGGTAGTTTTCTTAGGGGGTCACATCCTAAGCCTTTGACCTGAAGGTCTAATCCACAAGGCAGTGCAACAACTTTAGGAGATTCAGTCCAATGGTATCCGGTGACCAAGAATAGGTTCATGCGTCATTTGTTTCCTTAGGATCCTGAAGGTCATGGGAAACACTGGTTTGGAATCAGGGTTTCCCAACTCCCCTAGGTCGATCATGTTTATCCACCAACCCGATTAAGGTGCTGGAAATTCGCTTTTCGTCCTCTCAATTTCTTAGACAACACCACCACTTTATAGAAGGTTGCGAGTAGGACACATCTTACGTATGTCCAACCACCGCCTACCTCGACAAGCGATGCTGTTTAGTGTAGGAGTAGGCTGGGGGAATATCAGAATCTGCCAAACCGAAACCTGGCATCATTCCATGAAGTTGTTATATCCGAGCGAAGATTAAATCACGAGACATATTAATTGACTAATATTATCTATATATTCTTATGGAATAACTATTCAATAATTAGATTATGTATATTTATATTCCTCTATTTATAAGCTTTATTTTGACCTATAATTTATTATTGTACGATTTACGGTTCTTAAGCTATGTTCAGTTTATTGACTACTGCCTCCCACGTTCACAGCCACTTTTTGGCTTTATTGTGTACAAATGTTATTTCCTATTTTATGATACGTTGTGGTCTGTCTGGTTGATATATAGACCAAGTATGTTTGAAATAAATGATTTGGTTCGATTCATATTGCAGAGGCTGGTATTGTGTTCTGGACTCAAGCGGACAGGCTAAGCGAACATAGGACCAATAAGGACACTAGGCTGCTCATACCGGTCGGACGTCATTGGTTTGGCATAGTGCTAAAGTTTGTATAAGTCGTATTTTGATTGGTGGATAGATCACGTGATAAAAAGCCGGACATAAAATCATAACAGAGGTCATCACCAATTGGACTGGCCTATGTTAGTAAGTGTAGGCTACTTGGTTGGGGAAGGAGTGATTACTCTAACCAGTGAATAGACTTAGAATAGCATGACTCAAAATCAGTTGCAATGGTGAAGATGCATCCTGTTGGGGAGATCCAGAAAATTCCACGAAAGAAAGCCAAAAGGGCTCTGGAAAAGCTAAGAAACATCTTGTCCAATCAGCATTCAACAGAAGTCTTGCCACAAATATATAGAAAGTGACAAGTCACATGTCGAGCTTCTGATTGGATGATTACGCATACTGCTGCTATATTTAGTAGCCTTCCAAATATTTCTGCAATCCTAAGACCATCCAAAACACTATAAATAACCTAGATTTTCTGTATATAAACGAACCTTTGGACTAAAGCGTTTCTCCCATATTTCGCGCCTTTTCTATCGTATTCGAGTAGCTGTGTAGATTTAGCCTGGGGGAACTAAATCTAACGATCAATTAGAAGACTTATCACATCCATTCTTTGTCTCTCCTGGATTCTATGCTTCTGAATCCCGCATAATTTTTTTTATTTCACCAATTCATATTTCCATGAATCGTATCTTCGACGTCGGCAATTCTGATCAAGATTTGAATGGGGGAATTCTAACCACATCAAAATGAAAGATTTAGATGTCCAATTAACTAATCATATAGACAACAAAGTTCAAATCCTAACAATGAAACTAGGCATACTGAAGTTTCCGTAAATACAAACCTACTTCATGTCCATCATCTTCATTCCATTCGTCTTGTGCACGAGTACGACCAATACCTGGTTGATTCACAATATCAGCATCCTCAGCTGGTTCTTCCGAGTTTTTATTTTGACCAGCTTGTTGCTGACGAGCCATAGCAGATAAGGCAAAGCTTTTTATAAGACTGAAATAAATTAACAAAAGGTATAAAATTCACATTCGGACAGTATCAAAACGGAAGAACTAATGAACAGACACACAGAACAACAATAATGGTGCCTGGGTTAAATATATGGTTTGTTCGATCAGCACCAAATAGAAACCTCTTGGAAACTATCAGAAGATCAACAGATTATATGACTATCTAATTTGTTACTAAATTTAGCATAAATCCTGGAGCTTCTAGAATGTCATGGTTACATGTAAACCTAGAAACATTCTTATTTTATGTGCATATACTAACCTTGAAGTAAAGCTTGCCCTCACTTTACACCTTTTGTCTGTCGTCTAAGTTTGAGGTTTAGAAGAACCCTGTGGGTCTAGGAAGCAGTTAAGAAGTTATTATTAACTATTAGAGTGGAAAAATTATCACTAAAAAAGGTGGTTAAATCATACACTTTTTATGAGTGGCTAACAACAACAGTTATGGTAAAAGATATTATTATGTATGTGTATTATAATCTATTAAACGTTTGTCTTTATAGGTATCGTCACCAAGTTTTGACTTGATAATTTCGAATAAATTGAGCATTGGGTAGATTGGTATAAATAAATAATGTATTTGTAATATCCCAATGAGTAGAAAAATTAGATAAATTTATTCTCTGAGGAAGTGGCTTACACTGAGCCACGAAACGTCAGAAAATCTAATTTTTCTACTCATTAGGATATTACAAATATATTGTTAGTCTTCATAGTTCAAACGAATAATCCCAATCAAAAGTAACAACCAAAATCGACTTAGTTTGCACAGAAATATTATTCAGGCTTCGTTTGTTTAGTTGGATTTGATCCCGCTTGTTGTAAAATCGTAGTTTCCTAGTAGTTGAACAAGATTGTTTTGTTTAAAAAGGTTGGAGTTCTATAATCAAAAGTGCCGTAACGACTCGTTATTAGTGTACTATTCAATACTTCTACTTCGTTGATGAGATTATTGTTGGTACTGTAAATTGTTCGTTGAATAAATAAAATAATAAATAATAGTAGTCCTGACTATTGTTTATTATACACTAAGCAAAATTATAAAGAATTCTAAAATCCTATACACTTGGTTCAAATACAAACACTGTCTGGCTAATTTGACACCCCATATTCATTAAAAGTGATCGACGGATGTTCTCCATGAAGAATCATCCATTTTCGATTTTAATATGAGTATAAATATAAAAAGACTTTCATAATTTTTAAAGCTATCGAAAAAGGTAAACAAATATAACTAGCAAAGATTAAAAATACTGATACATTAGGTAATTCATTTATGTTTCTACATTTCAAGAATGTCACATTGAGAGGAATTTCAAAAGAATAAGACAAGCTAGCAACTGAAATATAAATAAGTTGAATAGTGAATAGGAAATAAACAAAATGACAATATACTTGGTATGTACACGAAAATAAAAAGCTGAATATTTCAAAAACTGTATAACTGATTTTTAGCTATACTGTCTGTCGTCATATGTCGATATTAATGTTCAAGAATAGTTGAAATAAGAAAACTAAGGCTATAAAAAGAGGAAGAATGTATTTGTAAAATCTCAGAGAAAGGATTTAAAGTAAATCCAGCGTTTCGCCTGGCAATCTGGTCTAAGCTTTTTCAAGAAAACTAAGGCTGTTTGGAAAACTTAAATCCGCATTCAAGGATAGTAAATACTGTTATTATGATTCCAATTAAAGATATCTTATATCTCATATCAAAATATACATATGTAGCTCATTTAGAGAAAATATAACATGTTAATTTATGTCTCAAGTATAATAAAATCTAGTATCATTAAACAAAACAAACAATTTCATAATCTGATTTATTTGGTTACATGCTGTTAAACACAGACACAATTAACCAAACACCGAGTATTGAATAATCAGAAAATGTAAGTTATCTAAGTGTGAATAATAGAAATTTATCTGATTCGTCATAACGATCCAATTATTATGATACATATTTATCCAATAACAAGTGTATTTAAAAAAAAATAAAGGTAAAGACAACCAAAAGATAACCAAGAAAGAGATTTGCTTTTTAGAAATATGACGAAGCTTCAATTAAAAATTCATTGAAGTACTGCACACACACACACACGTACATAATGAATAAACGAATATTTGCAGGACATAATTAATTATCTTGAAAGTAGCAAATGAAGTAAAATCTGGTTTGAATTATTCACAAATAAAAACAATTGGGTAGTCACGTTTTTATCCCCTTTTTGTATAACTGTAGAGATGTTAAATTATATTTTGTGAATAATTAAACGATAAATAAGCTATTTATGAGAAAGTTAATCAGAGCCAACGTCTATTTTATATACGTTGTTTAAAACGATTCTGTACCATCTGTCAACAATAAAGGTTAATTTCGCTGGAGTCAACCTGTTATAATGATATACAACCCTACTTTCAAGTCTATGCAAAAAATATGTAAATTTAAACAAACTATTACTTAGGTTTTCATTCTGCAGTGTTTAAAATAATAACCACAGGCGAAAAAGAAAGAGTTTTTCCTTAGTGAACGAGTAACAAGCTGGTAAAATATATCAAAAAGTAAATAACAATTAAATATTGAAGAAAAAAAGAATAATTCCTACATACCTAGTTTTTCCTTGATCTTTTAATTCTTCATTTAAACGATGAGCTAAATCTGGGAATAGAATACGTTCAAGAAAACGTAAAACACGAACAGGTGTTACATGACTTTGATCAGAATAGACTGATTTCGGTTGTAAATTAAATTCAAATGTACACGAATCGGATACATAGTTCACTTTTTGACCAATAGGTAATTTTAAAGTCTGCAATATAAACATACGTGTATATAGGGCAGTTATTTGTATCATTATATATCTAAAAAAATATTACATTGAAAAAATAAAACAAAAAACTGTTTGAATCACCTCAGATAATTTCAGTTTATAAAATTTCTTAGCTATTTGTTCACTAAGTTGTTGAGCTTCTTTGGTAGGCCATATAGGAACTTCCATGCATGGTGTACTTATATTGGATGATCCGGACATGAGGATCTCTCGTAAGCGTGGTATTCCCAGAGTTACATTCATTTCACCACGTCCAGCAAAATGAAAAGTATTCAATGTCATCTGAGTAGAAGGTTCACCAACTGATTGTGCAGCCAATAAACCTACAGGATCACCAGGTGGTGCTTGAGCGTTAATAATTTTGGCTAAACATAAATCTCTTAGTTCAGCCGCTGTAGCACATGGTGGTTCAGGGATTATTTCATTCATTATCTTATCTTTTCCGGATGCTTTCTCTTCTGTTTCCATTAGTTTTAATGCTTTATGAGCCATCTTACTACTGTTGAGAAGCTTGACAAGTTTATGCTTTGATACAGTTTTATGTAGAATCTAAAATGTCAAACAAGTTGAAATTAAAAAATTAGATTCCATTGAAAAATCCACGTAGAGCAATTATTAATATTAAACTAGATCATAAACAAAACAACACGAAATCAAATGCACATACACATGAATTATCAAGAAAAGTTTGAATGATCTAGAAGTGAAAATTAAAGTCAAGATGACCTTTTACAAATAAATTAACCTCATATCATAAATAATGTAACTTAATATGATGGTACACAGTTTTGAAGGCTAGCATTAAAATATGGAAATAAATTAATCAATGTAATATGATTACAAAAACAAACTGGAACAACCTTAAAACAAACACGAGTCATTGGTTATTTCTCAATTTGTACAGTCATAAAAAAGGATATTCATTGTTTCTAGTGCTGAATCAACATAAAGTACACAGTATGGATCAACAATAACGTTAAAAGCGATCTGTTTTACTGCTCATTAAAGATTGAGTATACTTTTTTCTCATTGATATCTATTAGGAACAAAAACTGATAATAGACGATGATGCAATCTGGATAAGCGATGGCAGTTCATTAGACCGAATTATTGGTGTAAGGTCTCCAATTAAACTAATATAAGACCAAACTAATGGCCAAAATATGATTTTATTTTAACAAAATAACATGTTTACATAGATGCTAATAAGAAAACAAACATGATTAAATAGTACAAACGGCTGGATGATAAAAATTGTCCAGACCATTCAATTTCCAATGAGCTGAGATCTTGTCCTTCATATCAGAAACAGAAATCTTTTTCATTATACAAGTGAACTCAAAAAGCAGTTATATTGACAACTCTTATATGGTAATGAAAAACAAGTCATTCACTTTGTCTATGAAATGATACATACCTATATTTCCTAACTATGTATTTGTTATTTTGTTTAGCTACTATAATCCAAGCGTTAATAATAGAATAGATGATCACAGATGAATCCACACAAACGTCGACAATACACTTAATAATTTACGTACAAACTTATACTAAAAACACCATTAAAAACTATGTACCGTGAGTAAAATAAGACAATATCAAATGAACAAGTCTTCTATAAGAGAGAATTGAGTATGTTTCATTATCATCCGAATAATAATTGATGTCATAAGTCAGAACAATCAAAGTATTATGTTATCGACCTTTGAAAGTTGAATGCACAAATTTACAAAAAACAATTCATAACAATACTATTGAATTATACTTTAAACGTACACATTGTCTCTTAACACCAACTTGATCTGCCATTATTTGTATAGGTTTAGGAAGTGTGTTTTTTTCAAACAAATGAGCATATGCTGGATTGTCAGTATTGATTTTATCAGAATGCCAACGCATTTTCATTAGATTTACATTATCAGCAAAGAAATGTAAACCAATAGGTTGTAAAAATCCAGCTTGACATACATCCACTCCATCGTCTCCATATCGAAATTGAATTATATTAGATCCTGAATCTCTCACTGTTCCATCATAACTTATGCTTAAATCCTGTGGAAAGTGTGTTCGTGTATAAATAATAAAGAAAACGAAATTTATAAATATGAATAACCGACATTAAGTGAAAGAGATGAATAGTAAACTGTAAAATGAACAACTTGTTGGTGAAAGTAATCTTAGATCATGATTCTGTAGGATTATCGTATCCAAATGTTGGATACGTTGATTGACATAGCTCTAAATCAATTGGAATACCATAGATATATGCGATATTTGCCTTTCATTAGATTTCGTGCTTTTTTATTATGGGAGCCTATTAATCCTTATCGAATTAGATTTTCTATGTGTAATCTTTTCTACTACCACCAACACTGTTACTACTTTTACTTCCTTGTAATTTATCTTTACAATTTCATCTTATAGTGGTGAATTAATAACCACATGTAGCCCCTCTAGGGTTTCTGACGGTCCCGACCCGGGTAAAGGAGGAAGGTGGTCAGTAATCTCGTCCCGTAGAAAACGACTATGGCCATCCTGACGGGAGACCTAAACATCAAGGTCGAAATGGACAACAATGGGTGTGAAGATATCATGAGACGACATGACTGACTGGGAGAAAGAAACGAGAATGGTGACAGATTCGCAAATTTATATACATTCAACAAAATGGTTGTAGGTGGCACAATATTCCCCCATTAACGCATACATGAAGCGACATGGGTCCCAGTGGATCACACTACAGAGAACCAGATAGATCATATTTACATCAGTAAAAAAATTCAGGTCAATAGAAGACGTGAGAACTGGGACAGCAACTGACATAGCTTCAGATCACTACCTGGTGGTCTCCAAGATGAGACTGAAACTAAAGAAGCACTGGACAATTGGAGGAACTGTTATATCCTTTGGCTCGTCAATTATCACGTGACAAAATCGCCCATCAGAATACCTACTTCTATAACCTTGTCCCTGTGCTAAACCAACGATGCGTCAACCAGAACTAGTAGTCTTGAATCAACTCTGATTCCTTATTTTTTCTCTGTATAGTGACTTTTCACCTAAATATCACGAAAAAGAAGCTAAATTTGAGGAACTGTTAGCTATTAATCACTACTGGATAATAGGAACTAGCACACATAATTTTACAGATTGTGTAAGATTACCTTAAATAAGCAAAGTGATCAGTTATTGTAGTCCATAAAGAAAACTAACCTCTAGATGTTTAATAGCTGACCTCTGTAAGTAACCTGATCGACTAGTTTTTACAGCTGTATCAACAAGACCATCTCTACCTGCCATTGAGTGGAAAAACAACTCTTGTGCAGGTAGTGAAGTGAGAAATCGAGCAGTACACATACCACCAGCACGTGGACGAACATCGTAAGGTGGAAATGAAGGTAGTGTTTTGCCACTTAGCATTAGTGGGACACGACGACCTTCTAATTCAATCTGACCAAGAGCGACAGACATTTGTTGAGCATTAACCTTTGAAATAAATGATAAATAAAAATAAAAAATGGATAAAATTAAAGATAAACTTTTGAGAACAAAGTGAAGATGGGGAAAAAACTATTTAAAGTGGTCTGGCATAGTAAAACATAGGGAAGGAAGCGTACAAATAACAAAAGTATTCAAACAGATATCGATTATCAATATCTGAACAGCAAAATTAGAAATTAATTTAATCATAGGATCAGCTCGAAGCATAAACAAAATTTGCTGTACAAAAGTTAAGTTTCAGAAGTCGTGGATATTACTTTTAGCAAAAGAAAGTTGTAGCACCTAGGTACCAGAATATTATCAACAAAATTTTCAGAATATTATAGAGTACCATCGGAAAAATTTCAAAATTCCACCAAACTTTTGTCATTTAACACTACTACTATTTGAAGGGGTTGGTGGAGATTTTAGAAATTCCACAGATTGAAATCGTGAGCCAGTTGAAGTTAGACCACCATGGAAAACCTGGAAGCACTGGACGGCCGTTTCGTCCTAGTACAGGACTCTTCAGCAACGCGCATCCACCATCCCGCACTCCGCGGTTAAGTGCTCGCGCGCGAAACCGGTAGGTCCTGGGTTCGAACCCCGCGGTGTGCGGGATCATGGATGCGAGCTGCTGAGGAGTCCCATATTAGGACGAAACGGCCGTCCAGTGCTTCCAGGTTTTCTATGGTGGTCTAGCTTCAACTGACTCATGATTTCAATCTGTGAAACTACTACTATCTATTTAAAAGTAGCCTGAGCATTGTTTGTAAATTTTACTCAACTGTTATCATCGAAAGTAACTTGCGAACATTGACATTTGTAAATGTTTTGAGATATCCTTAGCCCGATATTTGTACTTTCTGTATAAAAACTCCTATATACTTGTTGATTGCCCTTTTTTAACGAGTATAAAATCCACGAAGACAATTTAATCACTGTTTCTAGCTTTATTTTACAATGAACTGGGTATTTATGGCATGTAATAAAAATTTAAACGCTTGCTTACCATACCACCTTTAGCACCAACATGAACCATGAGTTGTAAATTATTCTCTGGAAAACCGACATATAAGCCTCCTGGGATCGCAGAGTCACATACTGCATCTTGCGCCCTTTTTAGTCGATCTTTAATTGCCATGTCCAACTGAGCAAGACGCTTTTGAGAAGACTGGTCAGTAGATGAAGGGAATTGTGCATGACGATATAAACGTTTCACATTATGTTCGGTTAGTTCGTCTGGTTTTAAACTGAATGTGTCTGCAAAAGCACAGAGGCCAAGATCTTTAAGATTGCTGAAACGACGTTGTCTTTCTTCATCTGCTCTATGTGAAAGTAAAATATCTTTCAAACCCATTGTGAAGGCAATGAATTTTAAAAACCTATTGGCTAGTAAACTAATCCCATTTAATAAACATGAAGCAGATTCAGGACCATATGCTTCATATACACAATGTATCAAACCTGTACTGCTTGAACCGATATGTGATTTGTCTAACATGCCAGATGCAAGATAACCATCACATATAACTAAATCTACATCGGATAATGGTGTTGGTTCACCGGGAGCAACTCCAGACCAAAGTTCAGCTTTAGTTCGTCGACCTAAAAGGGTAGCATTTAGTGGTAATAAACCTGAAGGTGTGAGATTTATTAACAATGTTGAAATAACCTGAAAAAGAGAAAAAATATAAATATTAGATAATCATCTGAACGTATTGGTAGCGTTTTTATCTTATCAAGCGTGATGAGATCACCCACTTGGTTCTAAGTTATTTACGACTACATAATCACTGAGTGATGTCAGTGAGTCGGCTGTCATTTCTTACTAAATGAAACAACATATTGATACCATCTCAAAGCATATACTGACCAAGTCGATCTCACCTTTGTTATTATTAGACGAGCAGATATGCTTGTTCAGTTATATTTGATGCCCGTGACATATTGAAAGCGACCAAAAAAATAATTCAAATATACCAGATAACTAAGATACACATTTGCTTCTTCTTGCAGTGAAGACTTATTGGCGTAAAAAAAGATTAAATCCAAATTTCCAAAAATAACAGTCAAGTGATTTTTTTTATAGATTTAACATCTTGAATAACATGACGGAATTGCACAGATAGCTAATATTTATCAGAGGCGTTAGAGAAGTTTCTAGAATTCGAAAGTGAATAATATCATCCAGAGATAATAATATATTAAACTTCTACTAAATAAAGGTCACTTAATTCTTCATATAATTATTAACAAAATTGAATATATTACTGTAGACAATAAGGGTGTGCTTATCCTAAATTAGTAATCTGATGAATCATAGTTTAGTTGTCAGTTATCAAGTTAACAATAATTGTACACCAGCTCCGTCAAAATGAGACTAATCAAGTAATATTGAAACCTTTGTAAAGCTGACAAGTAAATTTGTAAATAGTAACATGAATGGTTTAAATGATGATGAAATAGGAGGGGGGAAATCAATACAAAAAACGTGCTAAAAGCATTATATAGATCAAAGTACTTGTTTTCCAGTCCAGAGACATTTCGGCCAACATATTGCAGGCTTAACTGTTATAATAGATGGTGGGCCCGAAGATGTTTGTCTGTTTATAGCAAATAAAGGTCGAAGAGCATGATAAACAAGATCCAAATAATCAGCATGCTCGAAAAACCGATCACGCATTGTTAATTTAACTGCTGCTATAACATGATCCTGTATAAGCCCAGCAAGTGGTGTTCCATCTTTAGGTACTAAATATTGATGTGGAACAGAAGCTAAACACAAATTCAATAAAAAATAATAACATAAAACAATGAGCATAAATAAACAAATATCAGTAGGAATTGCTTTCTGAAAAGATATAACACGATAAAAAAAATTATTACAGATTATGGAAGAAACAAGTTTTGGCAGTGGACACGGATAATGAGTGAATTTCTTTTAAAATTTGGAGATAGTTGTCAATAATAAATGATGGGAAGAAGTTCATTGAATGAAGATTCAATCAAAAAATTGGTTCGCACCTTTTCGAGTCTAAATTGAAACATAACTGACGACTTTTGAAAAAAAAAAAACGAAACTAGTGTTTCTGAATGTAAGTAAGCGATAGTCTATTTAGTGAAATAATTTAAACTAAACTAAACTAATGTATAACAAAAGACTATTGTATTACGAGATCTACGTAGATAACTTATATCATACCAGGGATCAATAAATACATTCTCATAAATCAAAAACCATTAAATTAGAACTAATACCGTAAGCAAGTCACACTGATCAAATGTGGTATATACACGATTACCAGTTTTCTTGAAATTGATCAGTCTTTATTGACATAAGTAAATCCTGAGGGGATTACCTTAATACTGTATTTTAAACACAAGTCTTAATAAAGTTGGGCTGTGGCTATTAGTGAAATCCAGGATGCGCGTTCGTTCTATTTGTAACTTATCAACCGAATGTACCAAGATCCTAATGTTGAGTCCGGGTGTGAACATCAACACTGGGTTGCAAGTACATCCAACTGACGAACCGCGGGTCCTGGATGACACTGCTAGCCACAATCCAAATTTACCAAAACTTGATAGTACTGCAGATCAGATCAGAACAGAGTTAAGTGATTAGTTTACCTAATGTTTCAAGTTCAGCTTTTGCTGCATAACTTTGAACAAAATGACCATTCATTTCGTCCCCATCGAAATCTGCATTGTAAGCTTTACAATTTGAATAGTGTAATCGGAGAGTTTTTGCTCCAGAACACTTTATTATTCGAACACGATGTGCTTGCATTGAAGGCCGATGAAGGGTTGGTTGTCTGTTCATAATAAGCATATCACCATCAAGTAGATGACGATTAACCTGGGAAGAATTGAAGTAAAATTGAGAAAATGTAATGCAAAATGTATTGTTTACTATTGGATAGAAACAGTGGAATGAATATTTTTCTTTAGAAAAAAGAACATGTTACTTACAACGATAGGTATGTTATCTTTACCCGAAATAAGTGGTTTTAACCGCAAAGCTAACATTTCACGTTTTTTTTTAGCCTGTGGAGTATCATTTGGCGGCAGCATAGTAATGATACCATTTGAAAACTGAATACTTGTAGCTCCTGGATAGTTATTTGGTCCATTCATTACTAATTGACGTAAATGAACTAAATTGAATTTTGTTACTGGTGTTGGGAATGTTAAACGGAATGCGAAAAATAACGGTACTCCAACCTAAATATTGATAAGGAAACAGTTAATTAGTTAATAAAATGTGTTAAAGTATCTCAATATATAATATGAAGTATATGACGAGTAGATAATTTACAAGCGTATACAGCTGAATATTATGGACATTGATAGACAAAATTAAAAATATCGTATATTCTTTTATTTCTATCTGTTTGACACTTGCAGCAAATTTGTACAAGGGAAATATTATTATACTACACTATTATACTATAGCTTATAGTGAGCAATAACCAATGATTAGCAAAAAGGCTTAAGGTACATAAAATCATCTATTAGGCACCATATTCAATGCAAACAAGTTTATTAATACCGAGAGTGTACGTCTTGGATTCCAACTATTCGACCAAAATCAAATACGGATTATATTATTTAATTATAAAAAGACTTTCTGAGTAGAGAAGAATTATGCATTATTTTATTGCATAACACCAAATATTAAAAGTTGCGGAGTTGGAACTCATTCTTACCTACTCCGCTTGAGCTCTCAAATAAAACGTATGGTTCAAAACTGAGTACACAAACTTGCACTTTGTTACAAAGACGCATTACTTAAATCATTGTAAAATGTAGTTACATAAATCCCGAAAATAAAGGAAATACATACGATGTTTGTGGTATTAAAAGCTCTGTGAAGTAAAGCAGAGGTCCACTTACTGCGTAAATAACAACTAGGTCGGTAATAAGCATTGTAAAAAGTACAGACGTTTTGAATATGCAACAATATTGAAAATGAATGTGTTATGATTTCACCCAAATCAATTAAATAGCCATAAACAATGAGGAGCATGACTGGGATTCAACAAAAGGAGAGTGTAGTGGCATGAAATCGAATATCACATAGCATATCATTTATTTATTTAAACGCATAAACATTTATACAAGGAGGTACCAATTATGTATACTCCATGCGAGTCATTCGATTTACGTGAGGGCGGAGATACTACTCGGGCGCCTAAATTGAAGCAGATGGTTTTCTTGGGGGGCCACTCGCCCAGTATACTATTGACTGTAATTCCACTGCCTAAAAACCATTGTTTGATACCTCAAAAACCAAATCAAGTGATATATATATATATACTTGTACATGTTTAGATGTGCTGATAGAAAAAGTTAAATACATATAAGCTACCTTGGATCCCCCATATTCTTTAGAAAAAAGAGGAGTATTGAAGGAGATGGTTTGAAATATGGAAATTATACATATAAACCATAATAAACCAATGTTAATACAACTTAGTAGACTACCCCAGTTTAAATATTAGGCTTTGAGTTATACCTATGGTATGAAGGCTGGAAATACTGCCCAGTGAGTTGAACTGAAGTAGGTAGAGCGCAATTCGAACCTATCATCCAATAAATGAAAGTAGAGTGTTTAAGTCACTAAGTCACAGAGTCAAAGAACTTGACCGTACTGGAGAATAAATCATTTCAATAAACGCTCACAGAAACATCAAAACTTCCCAAGATCTCAATAAAGGTCAGTGGTAAGTGAAACATAAGTGATACAAAGATATACGAAATTAGGATAGGAATGATATTATGCATATCTCATATTTTGGTCAAGTGTGAACTACACAAAAATTGTTTTTGATAGGAAAATATGATAACTAGGATTGCTGAGTTACTTAATATAGGAATAATACTCTTAAAATTAGCTTTTGTGGATATTGAACAGCAAAATACTTCTGATTAGTGGGTAAAATGAAGCTAAGAGACAATTGTTTTAAAAACTTGCTGAATGTAAAGAAAAAAGATCATACTAACTGATAACTTTCTACAAGATAGCATTTGTTGAAAACGTTCTAAAATATATTGAGACTGATAAAACACAGGAAATAAGGAAGGCTGTATAACGTAATAGTATTTGGAAATATTAGGAAGACTAGCACTATCTCGTATTATTAGTGATTGGCTCGTAATTATATTTCAATAAAGAATTCGTGGCTCATACAAGATACCGGTAACTAAGGCTTAAATTAATGGTTCATGAAATGAATTTAGATGAGATAAAAACTCACCTCCGTAACACTGAGATTCGGATCCGGACTAATAACAGAACGGCATGCGAAATTAACACGTTTTCCCATCATGTGCATACGGAAGAGACCTTCTTTTCTTTCTAAACGTTGTCTTAGGCCGGGTAGTCGAACTGCGTTACTGCTGATTCCACTTCTGGACTCTAGTCCTAGAGGTGTGATTGCCATACTCATATCGTATATTCCATTAACAGCTGCTTGAAGAAGCACAGTGGCAAGTTTAAGTGCACCATCTGATTGTGCATCATCAATCAGATCACCATCACTAGTTGTGGACTTTGGTTCTGGAGGTTTATTTACATCAGCAGAATTGCTCACTTCATTGCGTTGACGGATAAACTCTACGATATTGTGTAAACATTGGGCTCGTTTTACAATACGGACATAAACAGCAGTTTCCGGATGCTCATAAACCAAATTCCCAACATGCCGTGGCTGAAATAAAAAATTAGTATACTTCGCTTCATCGAATCAAATGCAATACAAAGACAACAACCGAAATTCCATCTAATATTTAGGGTGATAAATCAGCTTCATTATTATCACACAGAGAAGTACCTATCGGCTTTCTAAAATTCGGCCTGTGATCATTGAAATTTAGGTTAAAGTTAGCACAAAGTATGCCACTACTAGAGTTTACAGGGATTTACCGATGTTATGGAATACGCAGATCCAATACTAGAACATGATTCTTGAATTTTCAGTATGGGGTAGTGAAGACTGTTGAATTTCATTGAAATCATGAAGCGATCTAACTTAGACCACCATTGAAAACCTGGAATCACTGGGCGGCCGTTTTGTTCGAGTATATGGGCGTGATCCACGATTCCGCACTTGGTAATCGAGCCCAATACCTTAGATTTTGCACGCGAACACTTAACCTCTAGACCACTGAGTTAGTATCCAACAAAGTTATGGTCTAAAGTTAGCCAATCCACGACGTTGCGCGACCATCCTCTATAGACTTTTTCAATGTTTGAACAAAACAATAAATTTATAATTAGCCAGGAACATTAGACCTTACACTATAATACTGTGTTCTAAGAAAGACATATATTGTGGTGGAAATTTGTAAATCAGGAAGTTGATTTTGATAATATTGGATTCCCCGAGTGAAATGATTTAATTATAAGGAATTCATTATGTTTCCGGACACCATTAGCACAAAGTTATACTTAAACAATAAAAGAAGATAGCCAGCTAATCAGGATTACTAGCTTCAACTACAAATCCCTTGGATGTTGTGTGTGCATATGTTAGTATTTTAGTGAATTAAGCATCCTAGGGATCCTTTTATAAAAGGGTGGTATAAATATAACTACTAAGGAATTAGTCGGTCTTCGGTTTTTGTAAATTTTGGATAAGTTAAAGGGCAGAAAAGAAACAGTCCTGTTAACAAATATTTATGCATATACTTAGAAACAGGGTATGGACATTATACTACATTGAAGAGTCAACACTCAAGATAAACTTCTTACCCAACGACAAAGAGAAGGAGACAACAGAACATTATCCATAAAAAATACGTCGGTAGGAAATGTGTGGTTTAATCTTGCAGCTTTAAGCATAGGAAATAATAGTACTAAAAGATCCCCGTCATGGGCCCAGAGACACCTCAGCATTATACGGATCATCTCTTAAATAATAGAAAACGTCGAAATGTTACTAAGAACGTTTGAATTATGAATAAACAAAAAAATGATGCACATGAATTTCAAATCTTACATACTGAAAGACGCTTGCATCCATGGTAAAAAGAATCAACTCGTCTATAGAGCTCAGAGGGAATAACTCATGTAATTATATTATTAGATGAAGAAAATCGAGATAATTAGGACAATGAGTAAGAATACACGGTAACCTTAGAATCGTATTACAAGTAACAGTCAAATGACTTTCCACCGTTACGAATACATAAAATAAACGTATGTGAACTAGTTCATTCAAATCAACGGACACAGTCTTAAACAACGAACCTAGAATAAATATGTAATGGTTCAACTTGCTACACTGTAAATCAGTAGAACGGAAGAAAGCCAGTAACTGCTTTTAGTTATGTCACATAACCCGACCAGGAAGTTCGCATCCCACTATACGGTTCAAAATGAAGATCAACGGCTTTATATAACGTCATGCCTTAGTCCAGAAACCGGGAAAACAAACATTTAGGGGTTTTACGATTAGATAAAATAAAGAGATTGGTGGTGCTGAGGTATTACGCTTGAAGTAAAGACTGCATATGATAGTCCACTGTAAAATTTGGACTAACCAATAGTGTTCGAGTAAGGAAGCTTCAGTAATAATGTTGATAATGTTACTAACAATAAGATGAAGACAAAATAAGATTGGTTCAGCGAAGAGTTCCTTTTTCGGCGAATTCATTTTCAAAGCTATAAAATCACAAATATATACTGAATCTTTTTAAAAAAAAATGAAAATAACTACAGTAGTTGTGATAAAAGTTCTGCTAAACATGATAACAGTCAGGTAGAATAAACAAAGGGATTAAAGCGTTATTTTCATTAAGGAAACTAATGATAATTTTTTTAAGAGCTTGAATAATTACTATGAAGATATATAGGGAAATTATAACTGGGAAGAGAAGACTCAACATGATAAAATGTTGAAGTTGGAATGAACTGTAATCAAGAGGATCATAGAAACAGAAATGGATGGGGGAAAAGTTCTATGTTCAAGATAAGGGGAAAGAAGATGGCTGTGAGAAAAGAAAGGTATGAAGAAAGAAAAGATACGAGAAACTAAGACCGTGGTAGAAGAGGTTGTAATAGTTTCTTATGGACACATAATTCTGGTTTATCCAGATGTATAGCTAGTGTTTCCGCAAGATCGGCAGGACAATCTTTCGGTCATATATGGAAAAATTCAAATGCCTCACTTCCGCTTGAGGTCTATCCTGATGATGTCGTTTAGAAGAACAACGGGAGCTTCCCAATTAGACCAGCCAGCTTGGAGAACGAAACCACAGAAATAATAATTTACATTTCGAAAAGTTTTTACTGATTTCCTGACATACCAACTATCTGCAAAAGACTCCGTTTCTGTTGTTTAGAGACAGTACAGTGTACAATGAAAAGCAAAAAATAGGCAATCTTTTATAGCTGTATCTGATTGTTAATTTTTATAAACGTTGTCATATTACATCTTTGTAACTCGGCAATAATATTTTATGAAGTATTCATCTTGGTTCCTTGTATCTTACTGCTTTATTGTTTTAAATTTATAACACAATTATTTTAGAATTGATTTTTACATACCAGGCGGGAAACATATTTCTTTGGAGTGTTGTTGACTTTTTATTGCTTCAGACAGCATAGTCCGAGCAGTGGATAAGTTTGCCGTGTAAATAGTTTCTGCTTTGCTAACTTCACTCCCATCAGACATATCGATGAACATAGATAACTTTTGTTCCATGCGTTGGTCATCTACTTTGCAACCTTCAAGAAGGTCACTACAGTCTTCTTCCAATTCCCTACAGAAAGAGATTATCCAATATTACATACATGGTGAGGATTTTAAAGCAATAATGACGTAAAGAGACTGTGAAAAGTCTCTTTGGCAATGAGAACATCTTAAACACTGCCATCCTAACGTAAATCAATGCAAATTGATTACTAAATATTTCTACATTCAAAAGTGATGCGTAAATGTACATATTCAAAATCGAAGTAAATTAAAAAGACTTTTTTATTTTCTGAATGATACTAAACAGCTAATTACCCAAATATGTGCACACACAACTAAGTGTAACGAACTGTGTATATATTAAGCAATATGAAAAACAAGAGACTACTGGGCCGATGAATTAACGGGCAAAGACGTACTAAAAAAGTGAGCTCAGGGTAATAAACTACGGAATGAGATCTGTGCTCGGGAACCTGTTAGTGTTACGATAATGAGTATCCGACTCAAGGCCATCCTCTTGAAGTAAATTAACAGGTTTCGTTAACAACATTATTTATCAATAATAAAAGATTCATCAACACGTCTTACATCTTCTGTACTAGTCATAAACCTAGTACGGCTGTCTGAACACAATTTAGAACTGAATGACCATTAGAACTAATGAATGAAAGTGACATTCAAATTTTGTTAGTACAAACAGCAATACTGTGATGACACGTAATTTTGTACATTTATGTAGTCATAACAACTGACCGCTTAGTAGTGAATGATTCTATATTATCTGGTCTGTAGTGTTAATAAAATTCTGCAGAACGGGTATCCAGTATGAGGCAAAACAGTGAAATCTAACTACTTGGACGCTTAACCGAGATTGTATCTGTAACTGCATAGGCAACTACCCCCAGTCAACAGCATGGAATTTGGTGACAGTAAGACAACTTTTCTGAAAATGACAGACGTAAACTAAACTGACTTAGTGCATCAGATATTCCAAACAAACTAGCCTATGACTGGATACTAATTATCTTGACGAAGTGGGTTTTTAGAAAACACAATTACTTTAGCGCTACAATGTATCAGACCCAATTAGTACACTTTTAGTCTATTTTGAGGTGAAAATGAGAGAAACACATCTTGTTTCCATTGTCTCTGTAGTATATGTTAGGGCAAGAGAATTTCAGAAAGAACGATGTTTTAAGAAGACTGGTCACCCGGCCGATGAATATTTGAACCTGGATAGAAAGGGTGAGAACATACACCATTGCATAATCTGTAAAGCTTATTGGGTCGCGATCAGAAATCCCCTATTTTTATATGTACCATATTAAACCCCTACTATTTTATTTCTTACATTTTGGCGAATTTGAAAACTGTATTATAAAGAAACTAGTAACTAGATTCAGTTGGTTAATATTTTAGAGCGACTGATCAGTCAGGTTTTGATTAGAATAACAAAACGGGGAGAGACAGCGACTTATGGCTTGATAAAAATATATCACTTTGAGTTGCTTCAACTGACTTCAACGCAACAGAAGGAAGTTAATATAAGTGGAAATCAGGGAACTCAAGGTAACAATATCCACGCTAGTAGTGAACTGGACATAGAGAATACGACTCAGAAACGGATGAAACTGATTAGTAAAAATTAAAAAACTGCACTAATTTAGCTTATTTCGAGCCATACTACTCTAGTTTTCTTTCAGATGACTATAATTAGAGCATATAACAGAGCCGAACCCAGATGTCAGTTATCGTACGAATCAATTTACATATTTGAGAAAGCGCATTAGCCAAGATGTAATCATCGATTAGATCTCCCTAGGAATGAGTACCGCCAGTCCATTGTCTGTCAATGTCTACTGCTTCTGGTACCCAAAACACATCCAAGAGACTCAAAAGGAAATATACATTTTACTCTCAGTAAATCCATACTTGTGACAACCATTGCAAAGGAAGATGTGAAAATAATAAGCATTTAGTAGTAGGAATAATCGCAGTATTACTACTGTAGTTTAGGACGACAAGATGAAGAACTGGTAGTGTTTTGAGTTCTAAGCTACGGTGATATTTGGGCCAACAGAATCGTGAATCTATACTGATTGATGGATGTTTTGTGTTTAGCATCTTTAATCACTACCTGACTCGTTGAGATGCTGTTTAAGGTGGGGTTAAGTTTGGAGGAGCTACATGTAACAAGACCAAAGTGGTTCATAAGCTCAACAGCATTTGATGTAAATCATCTGGATGAAATATTTATCAGGCAGAATCCTCGGAATGATAGGGATTAGATATAAAAGAACCAATATGGAACGGCTCTGAATCGATTGTAAAAGGGTCGGATGTACTCTACGTTTATGAGCTTGAACATTCTGGTATTTAACATGTACTCTCGTCTTTTGACTCAAATACTGTTTGTGAAGCGAAGTGTGTTTGCTTAAACCCGTAGTATTTTAGTGTTCAACGTCGATGCGCTCACATTGGGTCTAATAATCATCATTTTTAGTAACCTTAAAGATTACTAGACACTGGTAATAAATGAAATCTATAACTTACTCTTTCATTCTTGCCTTTGAACGATTACCGCCAGCAATAGATATTGGGTGGAGAACTAACTGTTGTTTACTAATGTGCCTTAGACCCCAAGACCCGCTGCCGCACAACTTACAAGGGGCACGGGGCCTTGTAGCTAAGTTTCTAATCGCCACTTGTCGCAAATCATCGCCTGATAACCCTTCTAACTCTTTAATTTCAAGAGCTTTCAGTTTGCCGGGAAGCTTACTGACTAAGAGCATTAATTTCATTATATGAGATACACTTACCTGGTGCTCCAAGTAGATATAAGGCTGAAGCAAGATACTCTGCACTGTATAAGCGAAAACACCCAAAGCAGAAAGACTTCACAATCTTGAAGAATTAAACATAAACAACGTGCACTTACTTTGTACAATACATCAAACATGAAAGGGTTGAATACTGGTTTCGAAAACTCGATATGGCCACAGTGACCCGGACAATCTGTAAAATCCATGCCGCAGTGTGCACAGGTCTCACTGTAGCCAATGACCCCTATGAAATATCAATGAGTAGTATGTTGATATTTTACCGAAATTTACGTCATGAAGCCCTCCATCTACTCCACGACCAGTAAATTTGTCGAAAGCCAGGTCATTTGTTACCTTGCGAACTGACAACCTTCTGATTTCATCAGGGCTGTAGAATCCATATCGAAGGCCAGCTATTTGGCCCACGTTAGTACAATTCATTGCAAGGCGTGCGATGTGCTCGAATCTTGCGGTATTTAAATGACCTAGAGGAATTTCAGTTTGGGAAGGACAGGAGGCTAGGTGGTTTGTGTTAGTTCTAGTGATAGTGGTCTCTCAGTTGGTCCTAATTTCTTTTTAGAGCGCTGACAGATGGAGCTTCAATCACGTGTTGATGTAATGAGTTCCATTCGTTGGTGATTTGGTGTGAATATCGATGGTCAGCTGACACGTAATTTGTTCTGGGCTTGTGAACGTTTTTAGAGTGTCCTTTTAGATTTCCTGTTTAGAAAGACAAGGGCATACCAGATGAAAATTTGTCACTAAGAGTTTTTTGAAAACTATGATCAAGTCGCCTGTAGTTCTTCGATATAGCAATGGAAATAGGTTTAGTTTGGCTGGTCCATTATCATACGGGAGCTTTGCTATTCCGAGAATCTGCTTGAACCGTTTCAACAGTTCATTGTCTCCCTTTAGACAGGGACTAGCCATTTGTATGTGGTGCTCATGTTTAGGACCAATGAATACTGTTCACCAAGTCAAAAAGGTTTTGGCATCGACATGGTCAGAGGCCCTACATATTGACAATATGGCTCTAAAACTTTTGGTGGCTATCTCACGGTAGTGTGCAATAGTCTCAAAATCTTGGCTAGCAATGACTCCCAAGTCATTGTGTGTCTGTCCAACAGGTAGTTCACGGTTATTCCCCGTATATATATATGTACCTTAATGACCAATATGCATCACAATGAACTTGAAAGAATTCATTGGAAATTGTCAAATTTGAGACCATTCAAATGGTTCAGATAGTTGTGGACGGAATAGAAGGGGCTTCCGCTTAACGGCCTTCTGTGTCTAGTGGCAATGGATCGCCAATACCTCCAGACAGGAACATAAATATATTAACGATAAAAAGGGAAAAAGAAGTTGGTGAATCATAGTAAGATACTATCCTTAGTCCTTAAAAATAAGTCAAGTTTCCTCTTAAAGGACTCCTGAGAGGTCGCTTGGACTAGCTCAGCCGGCAGCGAATTCCAGCATTTGACAACTCCTAAGGAGTAGAAGTTGTGTTAACAGTCCGTTCTTCAGTGCTATGTCTCCAGTTTCTGGGTGTTACTCCTTAGTCTTGTGTTGGAGCTAAACTCAAGTAGGTGTTTAAGGGGATGTCAAGGAGTGTTAAGGATGCTATAAGCCATTAGAAGGTCACCTCAAGACGCCTATAGTTTAGTGGGCAAATGTTTAGTGATTAGAAGCGCTCCTCATAAGGCTTGGATTTGAGTCCTCGAACTGATTTCGTGGCTCACCGTCGGATGCGTTCCAGAGTGTCCTTATCCTTTTGGAGTGAGGGAGGAAATCCTTTGTTTCCGTACTCTAATTGGGAACGAATGAAACTAATGAAGATTATGTGGAAATTTCTCCTGTCAAACTAGCCGAAATTGCGCTTTAATGTCACCAGTGCAAGGTTTGCTCGAAAGGCATTTTTGTCACAATTAGCGTAAGACTTTAAATAGTAGGATACCAGCACTCCTAAATATTTTTCAACTTGGGATACTTCTGGAGAGGAGTTTCTTAAGTTTTAACTGTAGTCTGCAATATATGTCAGATGGACTACTTTA